CACATACCAATCAATGGAGGAAGAGTTGCGTTTTGAAGATGACCAGCGAGACCAGCCGGGACCAAACCCGGGTCCCTACGACCTGCTTGATCAGCGGGCTGCCGGTGCCTCTTCCGTGCTCTCATCTCCCAACACATTTTAATCTCTTTATGTGTTCGTTCGCTGACTGTCTCGCGCGTGGTCTCACAGATATTCTCAACTTCCCGAACATGCTCAACTTTGGCCCTTGTCGACGCACTCTCGTACTCCAGCCCCGTGCGTGTCTTTCTGGTGCTCTCGCGTGGTGCCAATGTTGTGTTTTGTTTTGTGCGGCAGGGTTGGCCGTTTCAGCGGTCGGTGCGGTTGATGTTGCTGCCGCCGTTGCCCTATCCCATCGCGGGCTTCACCTACTGCTCCACGCCACTCACCCCGACGACCAGCCCTGCGGACGGCGCGGACGTTGCTGCTGGCCAAGCGCCCCTGCCGCCCGGCCACAGCTTCCTCCTCTCAGGCGAGGTATGCTGACCAACACCGCGCACGACAGGTCCTCTTCTCTTCTTTTCGACGTCGTCGCTCTGACGAAAGAATGGGACTCGGTGGAATAACAGGTGTCCAGCGAAGGCACGGCAGAGGCGATGTACATCCACAAGATAGGAAAGCGGTGGAGCTTCAAGAACCTGATCGTCAGCTCCCTCACACCGTCTGTGCCTATCGTACGACACACGCGACACACGCGACACACACGGTGACACACGCGATTACACTTTCATCATGCGCATCTCCTCCATGCGACTCACGATACTGCATTTGATGTGAACTTACCCTTGCCCTACGCAGTTCCTCAGTTCAATGAAGTACAGCGGATCGGCAACGACTTCGCGCTTCACCTACACCACTGACAAGCACATCTTCCTCCTCAACAACCTCTCCGTACGATGTCCCTCCTGTCGGCGAACCTTGGCACTCTACATACTCACTCCTTCCTTGCAGGCGATCACCACCAACTGGGCGCTCGGCGCCGAGCTCCTCTACTCGGTGGCCGAAGCCAAGCCCAGCTGTACATTCCGCTTCTAATGCCGCTTTCTAGTCCACATTACATTAATGCTGTGCGGGCGCGTGGGGCAGTGTCCGTGGGCCTGCGCTACTTGAAGCGGGAGGGCTCGACCAGCGACGCCACCACCGAGTTCACTATCGCCGCCGCTGTACGTC